ACTGTCCACAGAAGAGAGGAATGCACGGAATGAAGGTGAAATGTGATCATAGGACACAAAATTAGAGATAGGATGATTAGTGGTACAAGATCTAAAATCAAGATCATTGATGACAGGGGAATCAACATTGAGAGGAACAGACATATCAATAGGAGCAAGTGTACTTGGCTGATGAGACGGATCTGCCTCTAGCGAATCCGATGATGTTGTTTGCATAGTGTCAGGTTCCACGGCTCTTGAACTTTGCTGGCTTTTATGGTGACGATGAAAGACACGAAATGGAGGAGGATCGGGTAAAGGAGGTAGTTGAGTTTGAGCCGCCTGCTTCTCCTCAACCCTACTCTCCCCCTGAGGAGAAACCGAGAAGAAAGGTTGATTCTCAAAGAAGGATACATCAATGGAGACATAGTACTTGCGAGAGGTAGGATCATAGCAACGATACCCCTTTTGAGATAAAGGGTAACCAAGGAAAACACAAGGAATAGCTCGAGGATCAAGCTTACCTCGAGTAGGGGACAAGTTATGGACAAAGCAACGACACCCAAAAACTCGCATCGGAATGGTGGACAACGGAGCTGTAGGAAACAGAAGCTGATGTGGGGCCTTACACTCTAGTAACCGAGATGGCATACGGTTGATGATGTATGTAGCACACAAAACTGCATCCATCCAAAAACGTTTTGGCACATTCATATGAATTAATAAGCCATGAGCTACTTCGAGAAGGTGACGGTTCTTTCGTTCAACAATACCGTTTTGTTGGGGTGTCCTAGCACAAGAGATTCGTTGAAGTGACCCACTCGAAGCAAAAAACTCCGTGAGATCACTATGGAAGTATTCCTTCGCATTGTCCGACTAGAAGATATGGATTTCAGTTTAGAACTGAGTGAACACCATGCGTTGTAAGTCTTTCACAATTTTTGGCACTTCATCTGTAGATCGCATAGGGTAAACCCAAGTGTATCTAGAGTAATCATCAATCAAGGTAATGAAGTACTTATATCCAGCCTCAATGGGTAGAGTAACAGGG